ATTCTTTAGCTCTCTAGACCTATTAAATCAGTAACTAGGCTAGGACATAGCTCAGTGGCACAGCACTTGCCCAGCATGTGTAAGGCCCTGTGGTGCTTGACTCCTAGCAACTCCTCTTCCCCTGCAAAAAAAATAAAAAAAAAAAAAGAAGAAGAAGCTCTGGGAATGAGAACCCAGGAATCTACTTTTTTTTTTTTTGGTATTGGGGATTGAACTCAGGCCCTTACGCTTGTGAGACAGACAGTGGAACTACTGAGCCAAGTCCCTGGCCCCTAGGAATCTACATTTTAATAAACCCACTACCCTAGGCCATTCTGATAGCCACTGCATACACTACTCTGTTTTTGTTTAAGATGGTCTTGCTATTTTCTTTTTCAGCTTTAATTGAGTTTATTGGTACATTTTAGGGATACAGTACAGTTACATTTATTGTTGGGATCTTGTACCTTTACATGACAGGTCTTGGTTCTCATTTTTTCCCCTTGTCCCTGCCCTCCCTTCACCCCCCTCCCCATCTACAAACACTTTATTTCCATCTTTTCATTATCTCACATTAAGATGGTCTTGCTATTATAGCCCAGACTGTCCTCAAACTCTCGACCCTCCTGTCTCAGCTTCCCAAATGCTGGAATTACAAGCATGTACCACCACAGCTGGGTAGACTAGACATTATTTAGCACATGGTAGAAACTCAATATATTCTAGTTTTTTGTCACTGTCACTGTATTTTCTAGCTATCTGTTCTGCTAGCTTATTATCGGCACTTACAATAATTAAATTCTTTAAGAGTTGAGTTTCTCTCTCTGTCTAATCTTTTTTTCTTTCTCTCTTGGAAGCATTTAGTAACTGCTAGCATTCTATAGGAATTTAGAGAAATTAACTGCATTTCCATGTGCACATAAGGCCAGAACTGGCCCTGGTTGTTCCAGGACTTTCCTTATGTGTTCCACTTGCACAGCGCCTTGCCTGAATTGGGTGTTGGGGAGGTGAAGGGTTCTGTGTGTACCTGCAGTGAAATCTGACCTTGCTTTCTCAGGGACACCAGGAGTGTCATGTCCTCCCACCACCAGGCTCTCTGGGTCCCAGTAAACATACACGTCTGAGCAGTATCATAAACCATTTAAAGAAACGCAGTAAAACATCATCAGTTCAAGCCCCTGGAGTAGATGAGCAAGGAAAGCAAAAGCCAATAAATAAATAAATGGAAATATTGAGTTGTGTAGAAAATTCTTTCATTTAAAAAAATACAATCTTATTTTCATTGCACTCTATGGTTTAAGAAATAAGGTTAGAGGTGTAGCTCAGTGGCACTAATATAGGTGAGCCACAGCAATGTAACAAAAACACCCCACCAAGCACCTGAAAATCGTGTACCTGTAATCCTAGCTAGGCAGATAGCTGAGACAGGACAGTTGCTTGAGAACCCACCTTGGGACTGCTGAGAAAGGAATAATTTCCAATAATATTTGTATACCAGGGTTTAAACTCAGGACCTCATGCTTGCCAAGCAGGTGCAGCACCACTGAGCTAAATCCCTAGCCCTCAGCTTTAATTTTTTCAGTGCAAAAGCAAGTTTCAGGGAATGTTATTAATGTAGTAGTAAGTGAGTCCCATAACCCTTGTTGAAGCCTTAATACAAGCAACTGAAACTTTATATAAAAAAAAGATTTATACCAGGGTTTAAACTCAGGACCTCATGCTTGCCAAGCAGGTGCAGCACCACTGAGCTAAATCCCTAGCCCTCAGCTTTAATTTTTTCAGTGCAAAAGCAAGTTTCAGGGAATGTTATTAATGTAGTAGTAAGTGAGTCCCATAACCCTTGTTGAAGCCTTAATACAAGCAACTGAAACTTTATATAAAAAAAAGATTTATGCATAATAGTAAAAAGCTAGGAAACTCTCAAATACCTATCAGAATGTTAACAGAGAGACCAGTGAATGCATCCTTACAGAGGATTAATGCTAAGCAATGAAAAGGAATGCATTACTGATGCACAACACAAGTGGGTCTTTGCACTGAGCTGTATCCCCAGACCTTTTTTATTTTTGAGACAAAGTCTTGCTAAATCACTAAATGCCCTGGCTGGGCTTGGACTTGCAATCCTCCTGCCTTAGCTCCCAGAGTGCTGGGATTATAGGCCTGCACCACCACACCGGACAGAAGTTCTAAATCTCAATTCTGGAGGTGGTGGTGACAGGAGTGCACACATTTCTTAAAACCCATAAAATGTACACATCATAAATGAGCAAATTTTGTTATCTGTAAATTATGCCTCAATAAAGTTGACTGAAAAACAGGAGGGAAGAAACTAGTCAGTTTCAAGGCCCGGGAGGCCAGTGTGCGGGGTGAGTGGAGCCAGAGCTGGAGTGTGATGGAATGGACAGGAGGTCAGGAGGCCCACATCTGGGCTGCCTGGCTGGAGGGCCAGGCCCAGGTAGCCAGGCTCCATTTATGGGCTGAGCACCCTGGGGAGCCCATGGCAGTGGAGGACCATGTGGCTCGAAACGAAGTTGCTGCTGGCAGAGCGAATATTTGAAGCACGCTTTTCAAGCCCTCTCCCGTTTTGCTCTTAAACTAAACGTGAGCCTCTGATTTCAGCACAAACCTGGCACAAGTCCAAAGCTCATTTAAATTCAATGCTCTGAGCCCCACAGGAACCGTCCAGGGACCCCAAACAATCTTAACCACTCGTGTCACCTTGAAAGGCTACCTTCCAAGCCTTTCTCCAGACTGTGACAATCACAGACATTCCGTGTGCTCCCGACTCCTGTAGTGGAATTACGGCAGAGACTCACCCCAGGAGAATCTGGACGGAAGTCAAGAACGGAGCAGGCTCATGGATGGGCTGCTCCTCTCTCCCCAGCTACCATTTGTTTACCCATCCATCTAGATCTTTCTCAAATAACATTTCACTATCAAATTACAAAATAAAAACATAGTTATTTGCCTCACTTGAAACATATGAGTAAGCATACACTTCCAGGCATGGCAGCACATGCCTGCAATCCCTGCTACTTGGGAGGCTGAGGTGGGAAGATTAGAAGTTCAAACCTGGCCTGGGAACAAATTTAGTGAGACCCTTTCTTAAAATAAATTTAGATAAAAAGGGCTGAAGATGTAGGTCATGCAAAGTATGCATGAGGCCCTGAGTTCAATCTCCAGAACTGTAGAAAAAGCAAAGTGAAATAAAACACAAATAAAAACCACTACAAACAGCTGGTTAACATTTTAGCCTGTGTATGTGCCTGTCCCACTCCCCCACCAGGACTCACACATTTATTTAAAATAAAAGTATGATCTTACCAAACAAGGCATGTTATCTGCCCCTCCACCACTTACTAACTTATTGGAAACATTTCCCGGTGCTATTAAATAGTCCAAGTCCAACCTTCTGTTCAGAATGATTGATGCATACCAAGCCACTGCAGAGCTGCAGGACAGCGTCTGTGCCATTTAGGTGCTGATGAGTCAGTGTGGGTGACCCCCCCGCCCCAGTCTCCATCTTACAGCTGGCTGGTTGTGGCATGGTCTGAGCATGAGGGCAGAAGCACACCAGGACGTACGCAGATGACACACTGCAAACCTCTGTTGGTTTCATATCTGTTCACATCCCATGGGCCAGAGCAAGCCCTGTGTGTAAGCTGCAAACCAAGGAATAAAAGAGACTCCACTACTTGGGGATGAGGAGATTGTAGGGTTACATGGGACAGGATAATGGATGCAGGGAGAGGATTAAATGGGAGGCAACAGCTGGGTGTGGTGGTGCACAACTGTAATCCCACATTTGGGAGGCGGAGGCAGGAGGATCTCTGTGAGTTTTAAACTAGCCTGGGCTACATAGCAAGACCCTCGCTCAAAAAACAAAACAAAAAAAGGGGGTGAGGTGAGTGACAATGGAAAATGCAACCCATAGCAAAGCCTGTTTTCAATGCCAGGTTTGCAAATTTATTTATTTACTAATCATAAGGTACTGCATGCCAGCTCCCATTCTAAGTGCTTTCTAGATATTTAGTCCTCAAAACAAGCCTATAAAGTGAGGATGAGTATTAACTCCATTTTACAGATGAGGAAGCTGAGGCCTGAGGAGGTTAAACAACTTGCCCGCGGAGGCCCAGCTAGTAAGTGGAGGAGTGAGGATCCGCATCTAGAGCTGCCACTGATGAGTAGCATCTTGCTGGACTCCTCCCTTGAATTGTCTAATGACTGTCCCCTCGACCCCTGGACTATGGCCAAGGACAAAGCACCTGGCAGCCAGGCCCTATGAGCACAAAATGCATGTTTATTGAGTGAATTTACTGATTATCCCACCACTTGATATTTAAATAGGTACTAATGTTTTCAGCTATTACAAATTGTTATGGGATTGATTCATATGTTGAAGCCTTATACCCCATTATCTCAGAATGTGACTCTATTTGGAGATAGGGCCTCTGAAGGGGGACTAAATTAAAATGAAGCCTTTAGGGTAGGTCTTAGTCCAGTCTGATTGGTGACTTTCTAAGAAGAGGACATTGGTATATGCGTAGTGACACCAGGGCCTGTGTACACAGAGGGATGAGCTTGTGAGGACAAAGCAGCAAGAGGGTGCTGTCAGTAGGGTGAGCTGAGAGGCCTTAGAGGAATCCAGTCCTGCCAGCACCCCGACCTTAGCTTCCAGAACCACCAGGAAATAATTTCTGTTGTTGGAATCACCCAGACAGTGGCACTTTGCTGTGGCAGCCCTAGCAGACCAATATATAGGCTATGCTGTTTTGTATACTTCACCTCAGTTTGTTCATGTGCTGATCACTACCTGGGAGTCAGCCACACCTGGAGAGGGGTATGTTCTTAACGGAAAATGAAAATCTATTCTCTCCGTAAAACCAAGTGCTGTGACAAGGACCATGGGCTCCATGTCTGTGTTTCTCATGACTCTGGAGTATTTGAGACATACTGCACACTCAGTAAACATCTGTTGCAGGACTTACTAGAACCACACTTTCTTCTCCCTTTCATTTCAGCCAAAGACAAGGCAATAAACTTATCACGGGCTGCTGGTCAAACTGGATGGGGAGAAGTGAAGCAAGGGATTAAGAAAATCAGTCTACGGTCAAGTTTTCTGCTTGTATAGCTCAAGTGAGAATAGTAAGCATCCTTTCTATCTTCTTCTAAGAGCATTGTTAAAAGTGATAACCGCGTCCACCTTACCTGTGGGAGTTCAGTGCTGCCGTTTGGATCCTGGCATCCTGGGATCCAATTGCTGCCATCACATATATGTTTTTTAATTGAATTACTGTAGTTTCCAGTTATATTAGTCTACTTTGATTGCTATAGTTAAATAACTGAAGCTGAGTTCTTCATTTTAAAAAATGAGGTTTATTGATCTTATAGCTTAGAAGACTGACTGAAAGTCCAAGAGTGGGCAGCCCAACTGATGGGCCTCTGGTGAGGGCTCTTGTCAGATGGAATCATGGTGAATGAGTGGTTCTTTTGTTTTGTTTTGTTTTTTTTTTTTGTTGTTGTTTTGTGGTACTGAAGATGGAACATGGCTCTACCACTGAGCTGTATCCCCAGACTTCTTTTTTTTTTATAGGTAGCTCTCACTAAGTTTTCCAGGCTGGCCTCAAACCTCCACTTCTCCTACCATAGCCTCCTGAGCAGCTCTGTACCATAGCACCTGGCCATGGCAGGGACAAGGGTGGTGGTGGTGGTGGTAGTGGTGTATGGAACCTGAGTGGATGGGAGGGATGACAGCCTTGACAGGAAGCCCAAGGAAGGCTGCAGCCCCATGAGAATACATCAGTCCTTTCTTGGGAGAGACCCCCAGTGACCTCCACTAGGCTCTACCTCTTAAAGGTCCCACCACCTCTTAACACTGCCCTGTTGAAAACCAGGCTTCCAATGCATGAACCACAGGGGGAATATCCACAGGCAAACCATAGCTCTGGAAGGTCCAGTGCACAGAGAAGAGCTATCATGGAGCTCTTCCAATGCCGAGGCTCCCCTCACTGACTATTTCTCAAAGTATTGGTGAAAGGTATGTTGTGATCCTCCCAGAAGGTGAATAGTTTTCTTAAGTGACAAATCCACACTCACATTCCAACCTCTCTAAGCCTTGAAATTTCTTCTGTGCTAAACCAAGGGAGAGCAAGCATCTCTAATTTACTCATGGTGAGTATCTTTAATTACTTTTTTTGTTGCTGAGACAAAATACCCAACACTCACAAGTTAAGGAGGAAAGTTTATTTTAGCTCACAGTATAGAGGTTTCAGTCCATACTTGGCTGGCTCCAAGGCAAGGTGAAACAGCAGGTAGGCATTGAGAGGAGAAACGGTTCACAGCAAGTAGAAGGTAGCAAAGCAACAAAATAGCAAAGAAACAACAAGCAACAAGCCTCTTGCTGTCCCCTATATCTTATTACCCTTAATCCTAGGATTGTACCTTTAATCAATCTCATCATCACACACTTTAGATTCAGCCGCTTCTGAAAAAAAAACCCACCTATGACTGCATGAAGCTCTAGGGGGCCCATCTAGACACAAACCATAAATGTAAGCCTTCTTTTGGTCCATGTTTCAGCCAGCCAACCCATAAAACTATTAAAGCCCATTGTAATTCCCCAAGCTACAACATTAAACGCAGTATTTCTGCTTAGTGGAATCATGGCAATGAATTTTGCCTGATTCAACTTTATGTTCCTTCTACCATTATCACACACTATTAATATCCATTCCCGAGGCACCAGGGAGGTAGCTCCATGGTAGAATGCTTGCCAAGCATGTGTAAGGCTCTAGATTAATTCTACAGAACCACATAAACATAAAAATTAATTCCCAAATATGTTTCTCAGATTTCTGCATGTAGAAATAAAACTCACGGATCTGCTGAAGGGCAGTAAACTTCCTTATATGTTATTGTATGTACCTCACTTTTAATAGTGGATACCCCCGCAAGGGTAGCAGTTTAACTGTTGTTGTAATTCAGCCAGTAACATGAACACTTGTGTATGATTTTCCAAAATTTCAACCCTGTAACTATTGGACATAGAATTCTCAGAAGACACCTGCGAATTTGTAGATCATGACACATTGCTTGAGCTGAAGATTCGAATCCCTGAGCTCATCTTTTTCTCTCGTTATTTTGTCCAGCAACATAGGAGGAACCAACCAGTGTCATTAGATATCTTAGCTTTCACAAATATTTGAAAGTATCACATGCAGAGTCATTGAGAGCCTTGCCTCTTATAAGTGATTGATCAGAAGTATCCAGTGCAGATATTTTGTGAATCTCTATAAATAGCTCATAACATAGGCTATCACTACTCTCTATCCTGTTGGAAATACAGTCCTTACCATTTGTAAATCCAATCATATTAGAGAGTTAATTCTAGAAATCAGAAAACCAATTTTAGGAAACTCTTCCTTAAAATTCTGTTCCTCTAGAACGACTCCTGATATTCAAATCTGTATTCATTAGGATTTTCCAGAGAGAAAGAACCAATGGGATAGATGTATTGCTTAACAACAGGGATATGTTCTGATAAATGCATCATTCAATGATTTTGTTGTGTATCTCCTTACCCTACCATAACCTCGTATAGTTTTTTTTTTTTTTTTTTTTTTTTTTTTTACTGGAAATTGAACTCATGGCCTTGCACTAAGCTACATCCCCAGCCTTTTGTAATTTTTCATTTTGAGACAGTGTCTTCCTAAGTCACTAAGATGCCCAGGCTGGACTCGAACTTGTGATCTATGGCCTCAACTTCCCAGAGTGCTGGGATTACAGGCATGAGCCACCACATCCAGCTGTAATTTTTTTACTTATAAATTTTTATTTATTTATTTTGCCCCTGCCCCACCCCTTTTTTTAACTTATAAATTTTTAAAATTGAAAAAACTTGTAAAAAATGACTTATAACATTTAGCTTTGAATATACATTGTACAGCAGTGCAAAAATATTTTATTCTATAAGCTTTATTTTGTTTAATTTTTAAACATTTTTTTGCTATTAGTTTTTAACAAAAACACACATATTAGCCCAGGCCCACACAGGGTCAGGATCCTCTGTATCTTTGTCTTCCACTCCCATGCCTTGTCTCATTGGTAGGTCTTGGAGGCAATAATACCCCCAGAGATGTCACCTCCTATAATAACACTGTCTCCTGAAATCCCTCCTGAAGGATCTGGCTGAGGCTGTTTTAGAGGAGAACTCTCTAAAGTAATGGTTAAAAGTACAGTACAGCAAGCACGAAACCCATAAATAACGTGGTCATTTATTATCGTTATCAGGTATCATGTACTGTGCCTAAATGTACATGTCATACTTTTATAGCATACAAGGCTTGTTTATATCGGCAGCACTACAAACACGTGAATAATATCTTGTGCTATGGCATATGATGGTTCCATCACTAGGTAATAGAAATGTTTATGTGTGTTCTGAGCTGGGATTAAATCCAGGGCCTTGCACATGTGAGGCAAGTTACCATGGAGAGAAAGCCTTGACCCCTTGCATCTTTCTGTGTGTGTATGATAGGAGTTTTTCAACTCCATTTTCATCTGTAGGACCACAGTTGTCTGTGTATCTCATGTCTGACTAAGACATTATGCAGTGCACAGCTACATATAGATACTTGAGGGAAGATTTGTTAGGGAAATTGGCTCATGCAATTATAGAAGCAGAGACATCCCATAATAGGCCATCTGCAAGCTGGAGAACCAGCGGAGCCAGGACATGGGTCAGTCCAAGTCCAAAGGCTTGAAAACCAGGGCACAGCTGTATAGCAATCTGAGGCCCAAGGCCTGAGGACCCAGAGCTCTGATGTCCAATGGCGGAAGATGGACGTGGCAGCTCCAGAGGAGCATGCATTCATCTTTCCTCTCCTTTTTGTTTTTTCTAAAATCTCAACCATTTGGTGATGCCTTCCCTCAGTGAGTGAAGGCAGATCTTCCTTCCTCAACCTCTGATCCAAATGCCAAATCCCTTCCAGAAACACCCTTACAAACACACTTTTGAAATAATGCTTCACCAGCTATCTAAAGATCCCCCGGTCACGAGACACCTAAAATTAACCATCGCACTACCCATGACCCATTCAGCTATGGCACAGGTCACTGAGGACAAAGTGGCTGCCAGGTGGGCAAGGTGGTTCTCAGGGTGGGGGGTGGTGAGGCCAGCTGCAGTGACACTCCAGAAGGTGTTTTTTGCGATGTGCAATAGTGAGGAGTCGATTAAAGTTTTGAATTTTAAAATCATCCAAGTAATCTGGCAGCCTATAAGATGAAGAAATAGTAAATACCACAGATTCAAGTCGAATTCCTAAACCAACAAGGATAAATAAACATAAAGGACTGTGCAGGAGAGCAGGGTTAACAAAGACTGCATTAAGGGATTAAGTAACTGAATCTTGTGAGATTTCTGTAGTCAATTTAACCAAAAGAGAGAAGGGATAATCAAATTTAGAGGATCAAGCAGGGGGCCCAGGAAAGTATTTGAAAGCTGGGGAAAAACAGAGAGAAATAGAACATGAGATTTGTCCAGGTGGGAGTCAGCATGGAGGAACAGGAGAGGGCCCTGGGACTGGGTGTCAACTGTCATTATGCATCTCCTGACTTGGCTACACACAACCATTCTATTCAGATAGAAATAATCAGGCAGCTGTCCAGAGAAGGGAAATTCCTTTCCATTTCAGTTCAAGAATTTCCCAGAAAGAAAGCTTCTGGACTGCTGGAATTTCTGTTATGAAAATTAGAAATGACAATTTGGAGGCAACATAGTTATTAACTTCATAACACATGACTAACATAAACTAGAATGTATCATTTTAAAAACAAGATCACCAGAAAAAGAGAAAGATAGTGATTATAATTCCAGGTTAGTCTTTCTCCTGAAGGTATCAAAGGAAGCCAAATGCTTTATCCTTTTGTGTGTGTGTGTGTGTGTGTGTTTTGCTAGGGACTTAGACTAGGGCACACTAGGCAGATGCTGTATTTTGAATCCATTGCTTTTTTTTTTTTTGGCTTTTTGAGGCAGGGTCTCCATTTGTAGTTCATGCTGGCCTGAACTCACTGTGTAAGCCTATGCTGGCCTTAAAGTTGTGGCAGTCGTGCCTCAGCCTCCCAAATGCTGGGATTGCAGGCATGTG